GGGTAGCAGACACGCGAGTACCGGGAGTGGTAGCCTCACCAGCACCTAGGGCAACAGACGCACTAGCACCTAGAGCGGCAGCCTCACTCACAGGACACGGCAGCTGCACCTGTCCACTACCAGAAGCTCCCGAACGACGCACTCCAGAGCGACTACCACTACGGCCACCCCGACAGCCCCAACTGGCGTACCACTCACGAAGCTGCTGGGGCGAAAGAGGACACGGCAGCTGCACCTGTCCACTACCAGAAGCTCCCGACCGACCCACTCCAGAGCGACTACCACTACGGCCACCCCGACAGCCCCAACTAGCATACCACGCACGAAGCTGCTGGGGCGAAAGAGGACACGGCAGCTGCACCTGTCCACTACCAGAAGCTCCCGACCGACCCACTCCAGAGCGACTACCACTACGGCCACCCCGACAGCCCCAACTAGCGTACCACGCACGAAGCTGCTGGGGCGAAAGAGGACACGGCAGCTGCACCTGTCCACTACCAGAAGCTCCCGACCGACCCACTCCAGAGCGACTACCACTACGGCCACCCCGACAGCCCCAACTAGCGTACCACTCACGAAGCTGCTGGGGCGTGAGGGACTCACGCGCACGGCCCTGGAGCTGCATCTGGCCACGCCAGAAGCAGCAGTAGTAGCAGTAGCGGCAGTAACAGCAGTAACAGCAGGAGCAGTAGCAGTGGGAGTAGAAAAGGCAGTAGCAGCAGTAGCAGCGGTAGCAGTGCTGGCAGGGCAATGCTCACCAGTAGTCGGCGCGGCAGGCGCAAGACGGTGGCGACAGCGGGGCCGCTACAACTGCAGGGCGGGGCCGGGCCGCAGCAGGGAGCTCCGCGGCAGCTGCTGCACGGCGAGGCCGGGCCGCGACGGCAGCTGCTCCAGGTGCCAGGGGCGGCTGCTGCAGTGGCGGCTGCTGCAGGGGCCAGGGGCGGCTGCTGCAGCGGTGGTTGCTCCAGGGGCCAGGGGCGGCTGCTGCAGGGGCGGCTGCTCCAGGGGCGAGGGGCGGCTCCTGCAGTGGCGGCTGCTCCAGTGGCCAGGGGCGGCTGCTGCAGGGGCGGCTGCTCCAGAGGCCAGGCGCGGATTAGGTCAGGGCGACGCGGCGAGCAGGGCGACGCGGCGGGCAGGTGGCGACGCCGCGGGCAGGGCGACGTGGCGGGAAGGTGACGACGCCGCGGGCAGGGCGACGCGGCGAGCAGGTGACGACGCCGCGAGCAGGGCGACGCGGCGGGCAGGGCGACGCGGCGAGCAGGTGACGACGCCGCGAGCAGGGCGACGCCGCGAGCAGGTGGCGACGCCGCGAGCAGGTGGCGACGCCGCGGGCAGGGCGACGCGGCGAGCAGGTGACGACGCCGCGGGCAGGCGACGACGCCGCGGGCAGGCGACGACGCCGCGGGCAGGCGACGACGTCGCGGGCAGGGGCTACGTCGCGGGTAGGCGACGACGCCGCAGGCAGGCGACGACGCCGCGGGCAGGCGACGACGCCGCGGGCAGGCGATGACGCCGCGGGCAGGGGCTACGTCGCGGGCAGGTGACGACGCCGCGGGCAGGCGGCGACGCCGCGGGCAGGGCGACGCGGCGGGCGGCGAGAGCCTGCAGGGGCGGCGCGCGGTCGGGCAGAGGCTGCGCGCGGGCCTGACGAGTCTGCAGGGGCGGCTCTCGGGCCTGACGGGCCTGCAGAGGCGGCTCGGGGGGGGCCTGACGGGTCTGCAGAGGCGGCTCGGGGGCCTGACGGACCTGCAGGGGCGGCTCGAGGGCGCACGAGGGCGCACGAGGGCGCACGAGGGCGCACGAGGGCGCACGAAGGCGCACTAGCAGAGAAAGGCGCACGAGGGCGCACGAGGGCGCACGAGGGCGCACGAGGGCGCACGAGGGCGCACGAGGGCGCACGAAGGCGCACTAGCAGAGAAAGGCGCACGAGGGCGCACGTAAGGTAGGGCGCACGAGGGCGCTTCTAGCGGAATAGTGGGCCCATAGTAGAAAGCGGTCCTAGGTAGCAACCTAGGCTCGTGATACCATGTTAGAATCTAGAATAGAACGAGAATGAATGAAACTAGGTAGGAGGGGGATACAAGTAGGAAACCCTAACAAAGCTGTACCCCCTAAGGCTAAACCCACTATAGCCTACACAATATGAACATATAATGTTTGACAAGGGGCCCAGCTGGAAGAGCTGCTGCTGCGGCTGGTGCTCCCAGGGCCTCCCGGACCCCACTGCGGCGGGGGACCCCAGTGCTGCTGCGGACCCCACTGCAGCGGGGGCCCCCACTGCTGGAACTGCTGCGGTGCCTGCTACTGCTGCTGTCCCTGCTGTGGCTGGTGCTACTGTGGCTGCTGCTGCTGGGGGGCAGCACCCCCACCGGTCGGGCCACCACCTGTGAGTGGACCTGTCTGTCCTGCGCCTCCTCCAAGGCCCCCTCCCCCTGGTGCACCACCGCCGCCGCCGCCGCCGCCGCCTCCACCACCACCGCCGCTCCCACCTCCACCGCCCCCTCCACCGCCCCCTCCACCGCCACCTCCTCCACCCCCACCTCCCCCCTTCCCGCCCTTCTTGCCACTCTTGCCCCGTTTCTGCCAGTCTGCGGCAGAAACGGCAGCGGTGTCCGCGGAGACCGACACAGCAGCAGAAGCGCGGGTAGCGGTGAAAGTGGGAAGCTGAGGGGCGGCACACCCCGCAAAGAGACGGGGGGCCACCGCATCAGTGGCGGAGGCAACGGTGAGGAGGCTGCTCTCGATGGTCCCGATAGCAGTCTGAAGGAGGTCTATAGTGAGTTCAGTGGGGTGCTTCTGAAGAAGCTCGTCGCGGGCAGTGGCAAGGCGGTCAGGGAGGCGGGTGACTAGCCAGTGCACAGTGAGCCACATGGGGGGGGGAGCAACAAGGAGCTGTGCGTCGGTACAGGCCGAACGAAAACCGGTGTCAAGCGAGCGGAGGTGAGTCACTAGGTCGGAAACAGTCGCAAACGAGCCTAGGTCGGGAAACACGAACGACATGAGGAGGCGACTGAGGGAGGCGGAGGAGGGGGTGGAATAGCGAGCCACAATAGCATCCCAAACCCCCTTGGCTGTCTCCACCTGGTCAAAGTGAGCGGCCTCAGTCGGGGGGGAGAAGCTCCGATAGCGTGAGGGCGGCGGCCGCGTCACGAGAGAGCCACACGTCCCGAGCCAGGACCCGACGGTCGTAGTCCGCCTGGGCCGTAGGAGTCGGCTCCGGGGCGGTCGGTAGGGCGGCGGGGGACGGGGGTGCCGCGAGAGCACCCGCGTGGGCCCACAGAGTGGCGCCGTCCTGACGCTGGCTGGTGAGGAAACGGGTGGTCTGGCGCTGCCAGGTACCGAACTCGATCGGGCGTCCCTCAGCATCGAAACGGAGGCGACGGGCCTCCATAGCGGAGCCCATGCTAGAGGCGACTGGAGCACGGCGGAGGCGGAGCTAAGAACGAGGAGGAAAACTACGGAAGGCTAGGGACGCCAGCGGGGAAACCGACGAGAGACAGTCGGCGAGAAAATAGTCGTGGGGCGGGGCTCTAACCGAACCTAGGTGGCGCTACCGGAGGGAAGAGCGGCTGCCAGCCGCTGAGCCGGGAGCCAAGTGCAGTATGAATGGCGTGGGACCGGTGCACAGGTGAAGGGGAGAGAGATGCAGTAAGCGCACAGAGTGATGCGGTAAGTGTACGCAGGTGTGCGGTAAGCGCACGCAGGTGTGCGGTAAGTGTACGCAGGTGTGTGGTAAGCGCACGCAGGTGTGCGGTGAGTGCACGCAGGTGTGTGGTAAGTGCACGCAGGTGTGCGGGAAGCGCACGCAGGTGTGCGGGAAGCGCACACAGAGTGATGCGGTAAGTGCACGCAGGTGTGCGGTAAGCGCACGCAGGTGTGCGGTAAGTGCACGCAGGTGTGCGGTAAGCTCACGCTGGTGTGCGGGAAGCGTTGACGGAGGAGGGCGCGCGACAGGCGGAGGGGAGGGCACGCGACGGTCTAAGGAGGGCGCGCGACGGTTGAGGAGGGCGCGCGACGGTTGAGGAGGGCGCGCGGCGGTCTAAGGAGGGCGCACGACGGTTTTGGAGGGCGCGCAACGGTGGGGGAGGGCGCGCGGAGGTCTAAGGAGGGCGCGCGACAGGCTGGACAGCGCGGGAGGGCGCGGGCTAGGCGCGAGGAGGGCGAGGAGGGCGCGGAGGGCGCGGAGGGCGCGAGAGCACGGAGGGCGCGTAGGGCGCGGAGGCTAGCTAAAAAAAAAACGAACGAGGATCTAACCTGCTCGTGATACCATCTCAGAATAGGAATGCAACGGAATGCTTGGGATTAGGGTTTGCAAGCATACAAATAGGAGTCCTACAAATGTTGTACCCTCTAGGGAGTGCCTCACTGCAGCCTATCATAACATTAACATTTGACACTAACCTACCCTACTATTGACCCTGTCATACTCCTCTACCTCATGCTTCTATTGACTGCGCCTGTGGATCAAGGTACCATCCGTGTGTATCGTGAGGGACAAGAGCGCCTGTGTATCCTGCGCCTGTTTCAGATCTGGATAGCAGGGAAATGCACACATTTTGAAGACTGAAACACCGCCAAACAGATCAATACTACTACTTTCTCAAAGGATTTTAGAGATGCTGAGATACAGGAACCCAGAACAAAATTATCTCACTAGATACAACAGAAGTATTTATAGTTTTCCACTAGCAGCACCCAGCATGAACATACTCGTTTGATTAAAAACCCGAGTCGTTGATTTGTTGAGCTACTTCAGCAAGAAGCATATTCACGTCACCCGCAAGGACAGGCTCCTCGAAGGTGGCAATCAGAATATTATTAGCGGAAGTTTTATGGATGCAGCAACCACCAACTTTCCGGTTCTGCGGGAATAGCAACGACGTCAGTGTGTCTTAGAACTGATATATTAGAACTGATGCAACAACCCCCAAAAAAACAGAAATCTTAGAACTGATGCAAGAACCGGTGAAGGGACGGTCTTTCAAGTTGGTTGTACCCACCTCGTCTTGCTTGTTTCTTCCACGAATGATAACGCCAGGAACACCTTGAATGACCATGAACTTTTCGTTACCCAGGCATAACCCATTCGCCGTAAGCACATTCACGTCGTTAAACCCCTCCACAATTGCTCTAATCTGATCCTCGGTAGCCTGAAAGATTCCAGGAAAAGGAGCCATAACCACATAGCAATGTGAAATGAAACTCACACGATATTCTGTGCGGAGATGGCATGTGACACATTATCCATCTCACCTCTGGGAAGTTATCGCTGCGACCCCGAAGAGAGCCATTCTGACCATAAGCTGCCGATTTAGTAACATATCGGCTGCCATTCCAATCGGACCCGTCTGCCCTTCTCAACCCAATCCTCGATTCGAGCACTTCGTTGAAGTAATTCTCGGGCAGCTCTATGTCCCCCATGGAGGCTGCGGCTGGAACCTAATTGGGCTGGCACGTTGAGAAGGAACTCGCAGCCAGCTGAGGCTACTACAAACTAGAACTGGTAGCACTTGTGATATTGAACCGCAGCAAATGCTCTAGTGACCAGGCTCACTTGGAGCAAACTGAGGGACTAGGTTCCAACTTGAAGCGTCCTTTCCAGCAAACTGAGGGACTAGGTTCCAACTTGAAGCGTCCTTTCCTTTCCCTTCACACACCCAGCCCACTTCACTCCCCTCCCCCCCTCCCCCGCCACCCCCAGACGAGCCCCCCTAGATGTAGGATCGCGGACCGCGCTTGGAACAATATCCTGGACAAGTGATGACATCTGTGTTCAATCAAGTGCGACTGTAACCACATTTGGGATCTCGCCAGCTGTTATGGTACCACATTGTCACCGTTTGCTAATTCTCTTCGTGTAACAGAATTGTCGACCAATTACATTCTGGGTAACCAACATTGAGCCCGCTGACGTCAAAAGTCACCTACGTGGCTCGATGGTACCCGTCAGATCATGCGCGCCCCTTGGTACCCATCTTCCCTCCGTGGTACCCATCTTCCCTGCGTGGTACCCATCAACTGTGCGCGAATTCCCTGACTGGTACCGCAACATTTCAACCGAGCTGTACACCGTACAACAAGGGTGTCAATGCGTTTTTCACTATATTGTCTTAACGTTTACAAGCTGAATAGAGTCCGAAGCCCGAAGTGCCACATAATCGGGTCAAATTTTCAAGCGCATTACCTATAATAAAGTGTAGAAGAAAAGCTGAATTTAGGAAAACATTTATTGTGTAGATTTCTTTAGGCTCATAAACATCCACATTATAACGTGCTATAATTTAAATCACCACAGATATATTGCATCAACCGAAACACAAAAATTAACATACGTGTAACAAACGATCAACTGACACGTAATATATATATTGACTTAAGGTTATTTGATTTTCATTAATGGGTATTGTTTTGTTTCCAGAAACCAACGAATGTACGTATTATTTGTTTATGCTTTTCTATTTAGCTGTGGGGTTACATGCTCAATTTATTTGCATACAACCTTATGAACTTTGTTCAGATTACCAACTGCGCGCTGAGAAACATGGTCGTAAGATTCACGCTACCTATCGCTCAGTGATGTGAGCTTACAAAGGTTCGGAGGTAACGTGAGGATTTTAGAAGGGGAGTTGATTTTTTCTAGGTTGCACTCTATCCAGTGTAAGGCACGTTCAAAGGTATTAATGTTCAAATGTATTAATGTTCAATTGCAGACAGAAAACGTTGGTATAATATAGTGAAAATCGCATTGAAACCCTTGGTGTACGGTGTACAGCTCGGTTGAAATGTTGCGGTACCAGTCAGGGAATTCACGCACAGTTGATGGGTACCACGCAGGGAAGATGGGTACCACGGAGGGAAGATGGGTACCACCAAGGGGTGCGCATGATCTGACGGGTACCATCGAGCCACGTAGGTGACTTTTGACGTCAGCGGGCTCGATGTTGGTTACCCAGAATGTAATTACCCGCATCAATTTGGTGCTGTGCGGAGGGGTCCGCACCAAGTGGTGCGGCAACAGAACAGGGCCGAGAGGTGCGCAAGCGCAATGCCCACTTGAGGGGCGGAGAGGAGGAATGCTTCATCGCGAAAGTCAAGAAGCCACTGTGGGATGGGGGGGCGGCTTGCATATGCGGGCGAAAATGTCAAGAAGGAGCAGCACTAAGGGCGTGGTGCATCATGTGCAAAATGAGGTCCAATCCGTCGTGGGGTCGTTTTGCAGGCTCGACGGAGGTTCAGCGTGTTGAGCTTGTAAGATAAAAACCGAGGTCTAAGATTACCAGTTTCTGATACGTAACGCGCTTCGTTCAGGAAATCGGCAGTGTGCTTAGTCAACATTTTCGCAAAGGCCTTTCGCGGCACCCACATGGGCGTATCGCAATTTTCGCGCGAGTCCCTGGGTGGGAAATGTTTCCCCGTAACTCCCTCGACTGTGCGGCATGTTACCTGTCTTGACTGGTTGACCCTGCGGTTCGCTCGTGCGAGGTCAAACGCTTGACCCCCGAGTTCAACAGCATTTTGTTTTCTGGTACAGTCCTGACATGGAGTGGTACATTCGCGCGCGTTTGTATCACATTCGTAGGGTTACCCGCTCTGGGGTCCAAGACTTGGACCCCGATTGCATATGATGCACCACGCCCTAAGACTGGTCCGTATGTGGGCGACGTTTCCACGTGGTAGAGATTGACTGGTTTTGTCCACGCCAGCTTTCAATATCATCATGAACAAACACTGATGGTGTGACATACACCTAGTCCGCGGTATTTGAACCACGTGAACTGTTTTGATTCAAACACCCTTTGTTCATTTTCGGGTGATGAGATGGGCACCCAGAGACTTCAAGGCTATTGTTTCGCAGCAGAAGAATTTCCTACTAAAGAAACTCACACTTAGTGCTCCGAAATAGAGGGAGGATCGGCATTGACCAGATTTTGATGCCGTCGCCTCACAAAGGGTATGCTATATTATACCCTCAATAAATTTCGAAACTACTCGTATAAAAAAGTTTGACCAAGGAGAAGTACCCTCGCGCGGTTAAGATAGCGGCGGTTAAAATACCGCGGACTAGGTGTACCAAATGACATATAAAATTTAGCATTTCATGGAATGTTAGCTGGTTGTACCTAAACCTAAGTACAGAAACGGTGGTCAATGGTATAATAATAACCCTAACCTGCATCATCTCCCGTAGTCAATGGTCCCTCCATCTGAGCTGGAATCCTCGCCTGAGTCACTGGTGCTGCCATCCTCAGTGGAGTCACCTCCAGTGGATTCACCCCCATAATCACCTCCCCCACTCTCATCCGCACCACCAGTATCCCCATCAGAACTGCTATCCCCGCCACTGTCCTCCTCGCTACCATCTCCCTCTGTGTCTCTGCACTTCCCCCACTGACACTTACGCGAAAAGCATGCCTTGACAGGCCTGGCAGTCATATTAGCCGTGAAAAGTTGACAGCTGAGTCCCGAGAAGGTGTACAGGAGGCAGGAAGCATCCTTGATACAAGCACTCTCGCACTTCTCCACACTCCCTGTGAAGAAGAGATTGCCGTCCATCACCATCAGCTGCTGCCCCTTGTGTTTCTCGCATATCATCTTCGGGACAGGAGTAGCAGGAGGCGAGCTGGCAGGTTCGCTCTCACTCGTGTCTGCTGGCGGGGGTGGCTTGTCCTTCTTCCCCTTGCTTGGCTTGGCGGGAGAAGAGGGAGGAGGAGGTTTTGCATCCGAGCCTGATTTGTCCGAGCCTGAATCAGCCATTGCCAAATCCGGGTTCTTATCCTTGGTGGGCTTGGGGCTGCTAGTTGGGCTGCTGGACGGCTTCGGCGCTTTGCTTGCCTTGGAGGCATCCGAGTCAGAGCCTTTGGGCGCCTTCGCTGAGCTCGGCGCGCTTCCTTTCGAGGAAGACGCAGGCGGCTTCGTTGACTTGCCGGAATTCGATGACCCTTTTCCTTCAATGCCATAGCCGACCTCCTGGCTGCGTTTCGTCGTCTTGCCCTTCTTGTGCGAGCGCGCGGGAGCTGCAGCGGGAGGTGAGGATCCCCCACGCGAGTTGGACTTGCCCGACGTTGCCTTCCCTTTGCCCCCTCCGGACTTTGCACCGTCTGAAGCGGAGCCAGCTGGTGAGGCCGCGGCAGTGCTTCTCTTCTTCTTCCCCTTTCCAGACTTGGCGCGCCCGCGCGAGTTGCCCGACGCTGGCGAAGTCGTCGCGGCCTTCTTCGCTACTGGTCCGTTCGCCGTCTGTGCCGTCGACTTCTTCACAGTAGACTGTTTCGTGCCCTTGCGAGCCCACTTATGTCCACCCTTCTTCCTCTCACCAGTAGACCCAGTTGTGCCCTCGCGAGGCCACTTATGCCCACCCTTCTTCCTCTCACCAGCCGACCCCTTTTTGCCCGTTTTGCCAGATGAAACAGCCGTTTTCTTTCCTTTCTTCCCCGCCTTTTTCGTTCCGCTCTGCAGCGAACTGCTCGTCTCACTTGCTTTCGCGGCACCCCCCGCTTTTCCCTTTTTCCCCCGCTTCCCCTTCCCAGAAGCGGACGTCGAGAGGGCTGTTCCGGCTCCTGCTGACGTGGCGCCCTCTGACGCCGATTTTCCCGACTGCTGCAGTTTCTTCCCACTACCCTTCTTGTCGGAGGCTGGCGCGGAGCTTGCGCGGGCAGGGGAGCTTGCGCGGGTGGCGGAGCTTGCGCGGGTGGAGGGCTTCGTGGGGGCCGGGGTGGACTTGAGGAGGCGGTAGGGGGAGGAGAGCGCAGGCGACGTTGGGAATAAAACCTCTATGAGCGATAGAGGCGAGGATTGCTGCCATGCGTCCTGGTCGCCTGCGGAAATGCGACGCAGCCGAGAGATTACGGAAGGTTAGGTCAACGCGAGCAGTGGTTTACAGCAGAGAACAGGAAACGGAACACAGACGCCCTTAGAGCCGACGAAGTTGTTTGAATAAGAGAGCTTACCGTCCCCGATAGCTAGTGGTTCACGTGAAGAATCCTCATCAGGCTTCACCGCTGGTGCCGCGAGAAGGATCAGCAGCGACACGCACGCGATCAGCGCAGCCGGGCCAAACCGGCCCATCCTGACGCTTGCGGTTCGCGTGGTGTCTCAGGAAGAGATTTCAAGAGGCGAGAACGATATTGAGTGACAGCGAGGCGACCTTGGCTCG